AATTATTTTCCTATTTATGCCTAATTTTTCTTGTAAAACGTATAATTTCAGAAACCTAAAATGACTGTATTTTTTTTTAAAGCGTATTGATTTAACTACTGCATTTTTAAATTTCAAAATCACATGTTAGCTCTTTTGCATAGAGGAAGTAAAAATATAATCTGTATGAAAGAATCAAATTTGCTGACATCTTAATGCAATAAGAAATGACATGTAAAATTTTTTGAGAAAAGTAACTGAGGAATTTTTTGATTGGTCCTTAAGTATTTTGTTAATTATTTAATTCATTTGTTAACTTTACATTTGATATTATAGTTTAGTGTGTAGTGAACAAAATTTTGTATTGATGCTCTGAGTAAGACTCATTGTTTCTGTTCTATTTTGGTGGTATAGGCTGTTCATTAGAAAGAGTGGGCTAGGACATTCTATAGTTCTTTTGCATCTGATAGCAAGATTGTGCCTTTTTGTGAATTTTCACATCTCTGAAATACCTTGGAAATTTTCTCTCTAAATCTATGCTTGCACATTTTAGGGCTTCATGAGGGTATTTTTTTTTTTGTGGGTTACTGGAGTGGTGCGTTGTTTTGTTTTAAATTCTGATTTGATTTTCTTACTTGCTCATTCAGATATTTAATTGCTTCTACTTCCAGTTTGAGATAGCGTGAGGAAACGAGCAGAATGTGCCTCTTACACATACAGTGAATTTGTGCAATTAGGAACTTGGGAGTGCACATATTACAACAAACAGAAATGAGAAACAAAAGTTATTAATTAGGCTTCATGTTAAGGGAGGAGAAACCTTGCTGCATGGATTTACAAGTAGCACCTGTGAAGAAAATCAGGGACATCCTCCCGTGACCATGACAAGAATGCAATTAACTTCTAGATGGAATAGGATAGAAATTGCATTTGCTTATTTCTCTTGTATTCTCTAAGTACTGGAGAGAAAAGAGCAATTGTGACTGTAAGGCTGCTTGATGCCTCTTAAAATGAAATCTAATGGAGAGAAAAGTATTATGGTCTTGTCATGAGTCCCTCTTGGACCCAGGTAATAATTTAAATGTCTGTTTGCGTGGAATGAGACTCTTCAGTAGTCTGTGGGATTATTCTTGCCTCTGTGTTTTCTGTGTTTTTGTTACTACATAATACCTGACACTTTCTGTGCTTTTAAAGGGAATGAGTTATATTGCTCTTCTTGGCCGATGAAATGCAAGTTGTGCACTGATGGAATGAGGGAATTTGGTGGGGCTCTGTTGAGGTGCAGTCTGCAATCACTTGAAAGCCTGAAAGCTCTTAGGACTAATGACTTTTCATTACATTTATGCCCAGCTTCCTGCATTGGGGCACTTCTGTCTTTTAGGGCTTGTAAACTGAAAAGTTTAGTTCTAATTCTTTTGGTGTGAATATGAGTAGAAGTAAGAGGCTTTTGCTCATCCCAAATGGTGTTTTATGTCTTTATTTTTTAGGTGAACTATCCTGTGAAGAATTTATAGGATTGAGAGACACAAGTGTCCTGGCTCTCAAAAGAACTACTACCTGTGGAAGTATACTACTTGTTAATGGGTACATTACCCAGAACCCCATGTCAAAGGAGTGACCACTCTGGGTCTGTCTGTGCTTTCCGAGTCAGACACTGCACAGAGATATGTAAAGAACCATGAGGGAATTCAGTTTTATTTGATTTTTTTATTATTCTTACTAGTATTACCCCTCATACTTTACACTACAGTCCTCTTTAATATCATGCTTAAATCAGTTTCACAAGGTAGTTATTCATTCTGAAGAATAATTTGTTTGTATTAAAATTGCTGGAAGATACTGCTATGTCTTTCTTTGTTGTAGTCTGCAAATAGGAAATAATTATTCCTTAGTTGTCTTTTATTAATCTCTTCTTCCAAATATTACTTAGAAAATCTTTCAGGCTGAGATGGAGCTTGGGGACCATCATAGGGCAACTCTGGAGACAGTGTTGTACAACATGAGGGCCATCTGTAGAATCTGCATTCAAAAATCTCAAGTCTGTGAAACTCTTCTTTTAAATAAAATTATTTCACAACATGATTGTCGAATATTTATTTTCTGAGCTGAGCACACTGCAGAGTTCTGATTTTTCTCTTGATGGGTACTGTGTGATATTTGATAATAAAGTTTATGAATTTTTTTCTGAAATGGCTACCAATACCCTATTTTGACCAAGTTGGAAGCAGAAGTTGTATTTTGAACTCTTTTTGAAGAGAGTGAGAGGTGGGTTCACTACCATGTGTAAGCACTTAGAATCCTAGAACCATAGAATGGTTCGTGTTGGACAGGACCTTGAAGATCATATTGTTCCAGCCCTTCTGTCATGGGCGGGGACACATTCTTCTAAAGGAGGTTGCTCTGAGCACCATCCAGCCTAGCTTTGAACACTGTCACAGCTTCTCTGGGCAACCTGTTCCACTGCCTCACCACCCTCAACAGTAAAGAATTTCTTACTAATACCTAACTTAAACCTACCCTGTCTCAGTTTAAGGCTCTACCCCCTTGTGCTATCACTGCATGCCCTTGTGAAAAGTCACTCTCCAGCTTTCTTCTAGGCCCTTTTTAGGTAATGGGAAGCTGCTTTTGCTGGGGCCACCTCTCCTGTAGGCTGAAAAACCCCAACTCTCTCAGCCTACTTGAAAAAGTTACACCTTTAAAATGTGCTCAGCTTCCAGTTGTCAGATATTCTTCCTCTCAAATTCAATGTTGAAAAAAATTACATTTTTTCCCAGTAAACTTCGCCCAATATAAGAAGAGTGAAATAAAATAGTTTTTAGAGTCATTTAGCAGAGGTTTCCTCACCTAGGCCAGCGACCTTACACCTTTTTTCCATTTTGGCCCATTAAAAAATTTCCTGTGGTTGCAATTAGTATTGCAGTAACTTGTTGCTGCTAAATGTAAGCCTTGACATCTAATGGATGGTTCTGGACACAGATGGACTGTGGAGTCTGCTGTGTGCTTTCAGAGACTCATGGAATACAAGTGGGCTTTGGTTTGCTGAGCCTATGGCTCTATTTCTGTCATGTCTCAAGACATGCAGGTGTGCTATTCATTGTTAGCATAGAATCACCTAAAAAAGAAGGATTAATCTTAAAAAAAAAAAAAAAATGCACAGCATTGCGTGGCCATTGTGCTTCTTTGTAACCTTGGAGCTGAGCAGGTTTTATCTTAATGCAAGTAAGAGCACAGCCTGGCTACATTATGGATGGACCACAGTGGACAAGGCTTGTGTAGTGGTCTCTAATAGCCCTCTTGCACCTGCTCGATTCCAAAAAACACAAGGACAACTCTCTTATTTCTGTTCGAGGACACAATATTTTCTACAGTGGTGTTATAATAGGGGAGAACTTTTCAAAATACTCTTTTTTTCCCCCAGTATTGTTACTACTTCCATGAAAATACTGAAATAGGCTACACAAGAGAATCCCTACAATCAGCTTGTTTAGACAACAGAAAGCTCCACGGATCATTGAAATGCAGCTTAAGGAACAGTTTTACTGCACTGGAAAAGCTGACTCCTAAGTATTTTGATGTAAATATTGAAACTCCTTATTTCTGTTGTTGCAAAAATCTGGTCAAAACTAGTTACTTGATAAAATAGAAATCAATGGAAGAACTAAAAACTACTGGAGATTTATCACTTTTATGTATGCAGAGATAGCAAAAACAGTATTGGGCTAAAATGAACAAAGGATAAATGCAGGGAGGCAGAGCATTTTATGTATGATGGTGGGGATGGTGCTGTGCAGGTTTGGGAGTTGGTCTCTGAGGTCCTTGTGGTTCCCTTCCAATTCAACATATTCTGTGATTGGAGTCCTCGCTGGGGAAGAGGTTTCAGGTAAGCTGGAAGAAAAACATCTTGTATTGTTGCTCTTTCTGATTGCTACCAGAAGTCTGTGAATGAGTTTAACTCTCTCTTTGTAAGCTATAAAGGAAATACTGAGAGTTATTTATAAAGTAGGATGTCAAGATCAGCATGTGGGTGTTGTCACTGGTTAGAGAGGTGCGTGTGACAATCTTTTTTGTTACAGACTGCTGCTAGCAGCACCCTTGTGCTCAGGCTGCAAGTCCTCCTGGGAATCCCTCCTTGCAGTGACCCCGGCACAGGTTTTGGGATGTGTCCCCTTTCAAGTGTGTTCGCCTGCAGGTTGCTTTGGTGTGCTTTTCCCTCACATCCACGTGAATGCTGGCAGGGCCCTTTTGGATTGTTCTGAGCCTGCTGCCCTTCACCAGCACTCTGCAAGGGGAGCTGCCTTCTCCCACCTGCCTGCGGGTCCCCATCAGGTGGGATGTGCAAGGAGCTACCGCAGCAGCCGCCTGCAGCTGAGCTCGGCACTGGCTCCCGGGAAAGGGTCTGGAACTTCAGTTTTGTAATGACTTCTGCAGGTGAAGAAACATTTGGCATCATGGTTAGACATTTGTGGAATTAATTTTCCACAGTTCTTACGCCACTGAATGTCAAGTATTTTGGCCTTTGAAATTGTCACATCATTCTGAGGAGCTAACTGTAATTAGCACCTCTTTCTTCTGGCATTTCTGTGGCTTTTAAATATTTTATCTGCATTCTTTTCTGCCTTTGGCACTTCTTAATTTTTTTTTTCTCTCCGAAGATCTTTCTGAGTCTGAGTATCTTGTTTGAAGCCAAGCTGAAAAACAAAAATTAAGTGAAGTTTCATCGACTTCCTTATTACTGGAGGTTGGGGTGCGGGCTGAGCGGGGGTGGCAGGGATGCAGCCACGGGAATTTGCTTCCCAGGTGTGACAGCCAATAGCCCGCACGGGAACGGACGTAGCGGGTGCCTGGAGAGGGGCTGGCAAGAAAGATACCAAGAGCGGAGAGCACGGCGGGGAGGATCGCTGCCGACAGGAGCAGACTCCGGCCGGCTCCCAGGACGGGGGCGCGCCTCGGGAACCGGCCCCGCCCCCTGGCCACGCCCCGCCCCGCCCCGCGCGCTCCAGGGATGCGCCTCGTCCTTCCTGGCGGGAAGTGACGGAGCCGCTCCGAGGGGAAGTGACGCGCGTGGCGTGCGGGCCCGGAGCGGTGTGGGGGGGGCTCGGACAAGATGGCCGGATCCACAGGTCTGTGAGGGGGGGCTCGGTGGGCCCGGGAGAGCGGCTCGTGCTGGGGAGGCGCCCCCGCAAGGGCCCGGGGCGGGTCTCCTTTCTCCGGGATGGGGGGGCGAGCTGCCTCCGGCGGGAGAGACCCGAGTGGGGAGGAGTTGGCTTCTGACAGGGGGGAAAGGGAAGCTGCAGGGGCGCCGGGACAGGTTATCACAGAATCCCAGGTTCACTTAGGTTGGAAGAGACCTCTGAGATCATCGAGTCCAACCTATGACCGAGCACCACCTTGGTCAATTAGAGCACAGCACCGAGTGCCACGTCCAGTCTTTCATGAAGTACCTCCACGACGGTGACTCCACCACCTCCCTTGGCAGCCCCTTCCAATGTCTAATGTGAAGAAATTGCTTCTAATTCACTTATGCCCCGGGCCAGATCCCTTCCGTCCGTGGGGCAGCGACATCCTTGTGAGAGCCCGGCCTGGGGGTGCGTGGTGGGAAACAAGGCTCCGAGTGCCGGAGGAGGGAAGGATTGGCCTGCCAGGAGGCAGCAATGGATGGATAGGTGTACGTGAGGAAGGGGGGAGATGTTGTTAGCCTAGTAAAAATGCTGCAGGAAAGAAAGATTTGTACTGAAGATTTGTCCCAGTATACCACCGGGTGAACAGAGAAGATGTGGTATAGTCGTATCTAAAATAAAGGTTTGTCTTTGTCCCCTGTTTATTTGGGAGAGAAGGGCTTTGGCCTGTGTTATGTTTTGGGACAAAGGTACTTCACGTTGGTGGTGACTGTAGCATAGTGGGAAGGAGTGAAGCTCTCTTCCCTATGGCATCCATTGGAGTCAGCGGTTCTCTCTCATAGGCAAATTTAAGGGCAAAGAGCTGCCAGTCATCGCAGGAAGCCCATCTCAGTAACCAGCAAGCGTTGGTGTGGCAGAATGTTGTGGAAAGCCGTGGCAAAGAAAGGGGCAGGAATATTGCTTCAGGTGCTAAATGTAGAAGCACAATTAGGTTGTCTCAGTTTCATTTCATGAGAGGCTTGAAATACACAAAGACCTTTCCACCAGTGCTAAAACCTGAAATCTTCAGGGGCTTGTTTCCTCTTCTCTCACCTCTGGGACTTTATAAGTGGATTGATGGACCTCAGGGTAGGGGAATGAACTGACTTCAGCAGCTAGTCTAGGTGAATGTTGGTCACTAAGTTATTTCTACTGCCAATCCACTGGATCATTGCAGGATTGAGACTATAACAAAACATAAGAAACATCTGTACACTTAAACTGGTCTTAGTACCTTGCTGTTGATTCTGTGAGAGCTTGGGCAGGTTTTGGGGTTTTTTTTGGAGAAAGGAGAGTCATTTCCAGTAGGTTCTATGTTTGGGGATGTGGGATTTCCAGAGCAGGATTTGATAAAGTTGCAACAAACTGGGTTGTGAAGTAGTTTTTGCAACTATGTGGAAGAGCAATCCAAAAGATAGCTATTGCCTATGATAAACCGAGCTAGAATTGATATATTTAGAGAAACCCAAGTATTTGCTCATCTGCGAATTACTGTATTTTATTTTGTTAGGATTCTTTTTTACTTTTTTTCCTGTTGTCTAAATTTAAGAGTTTTATTATAGAGCAACACTGAAAGACTTCGGCTTATGTCTAGGCTCTCACTGGAGATTTCCTGTAATATAATAGGAAGCAAAGTTAGTTTAGGTTGTGTATTGAGTACTGGCATTTGGCATTCAACCATGTTCTATAGTGTAGAATATCAGTTCTACTAAAAATTTTTGTAGTGAGAAAAGCTCTTCCTACTTCAACCTTATAAGAATAAATATTTTCTGACTGAATTTTGATGGTTGCACTGCTGTAAGCGTTCTTTCCAGTCTTACAAGAGTTATTTTAAAATCTCTTATATACAGTTATTCAGAGGGATTGTTTTTGACTCAGAAATACAGCCACACTTGAAGTTCATACAAAACAGGAGATGTAGGAAACTCTCAATACTGTGTGACTGTTCCAAACAACGTAAAGAGCCAGTACTGCATGTACGTTTTGTTGAAGAAATTAAATTAAACTAATTTGTTGTAGTAAAATGCAGCAAGCAGGCTGAATCATCCACAAAACTGCTGGGAAAATTAGTCAGGGTTTCTAAAACAACATATTCTTGTGGAGAAAATACTGCGACTTTTTATTGGTACACACATGGTGTGGGGGGTGGGGGATGTTTGTTTTGTCCTTTCCACGTAGTATGCAAAAATTCAGACTTCACGCAGAACTGCTCTTGTCAGGAAGCTGTGTTATAATCATTTGTGGAGGAAGGAAGGGAATGATTTGCTATAGACTTAACTTTGTTGTAGATTTAAGATTTAAATCTACCTAGCTCTATGACTTTAATTTGCTCTTGCTGTAAAGTTCAACTTCATCATTATTTATTTCAAAGGAAAAAAAATAAATTTGATTGCATGAAGTCTAGGAATGCAATTCTAGCCCCAAGGAAGTCAACAGCAAAACTTTTACTAAGGTCAACTCTCTTACTTTCATCCCAGAAATTCCTTTCCTGGACTTACTAATTCTATGAGCAGTCATGTAACAAATGATGTGCGTTTAACAGCAGAGACTTTAGTTTGAAAATAGCTGTTCTTTAATGTGTGCCAAAAAAATTGTATATGTCAGTGTTACGTTGCTGTTTACCTGCTTGTTAAAATCACCTGTAATGAGTAAATTTTACATCTAGATACTGCATGTGCTAGAAATGGATATTTGTAAGCTGCAGTTTGATCTGATATTGCAACTACTTCTGCTTGAAGCTTGATCTAGGTTATTTGTACTGCTGGGGGTCTGGGGTTAAACAAGTCAATTTTTTTAGAGAAGAAAGCAGTTTTTTATAATATATAGTCATCCAGTTTCATATTGCTTAGCTGGAGATTCACTAAGGCATACCATTTAAACATCTCTTGTGTATCTCAAGAAAAAAAAGCAAATAGAAAACATCATTATAAGGAGTTAATTCAGGAGTTAATTTCTGCATTTTGATAATTTGGGTTTCACTTAATGTAAGTTTCACTTATGCGTAAGGTTATACATATCTATATGTATATATATGTATATTTATTTAAAATGTGAATGTTCCCTAAAGGCGGTGATAGTGTCACTAAGTGGTTAGAATTTATGTGGGAAAATAGGGGAATTAATGCAGTAGTGTGAAATACAGGGCTGCTAATGCTTTTGCCTCCTTCCTCTTCAACTGAGAGCTTCAATAGCTTGGGGGAGGGTGGATAAGGCTGAATTAATGAAAATTCCCCTTGGTCTGCTGAAACTGAGTGCTCAGGGAAGAGAAATTGACTGATCTACAGTCAAAGTTATATGAGATTCCTGATTTACTTCTAGTACGTAGTCTTGAGCAACCTTTTTTGAAAGTATATTTGAAGGTACGTGGCTAGATCCCTGTGAAATACTTTTTCTGTAAAATCCATACTTTTAATTTCCAATTATTCTACTCTATAAGGATGAAACGACTTCATTGTGTAACATGAGTTGCTCATGCAAAATGTCCTTCCCTTTGATTTTATAGTTGATTAATTCTGTGAGTAGAAATGGCACAATGCATGTCAGTGATTTATTTTCAAAACTTTGTTTTTTACTTCTATTTGCCAACATTTGGTGGTTGTGGAAGCAGTTCTAAGCATGCATGACTACAGCATGAGGAAGCTGGTATTAAAAGTGAAGGGCTGGAAGTGGTCTTGAGTATGTTCTAGACTCTCTGAGCTGTGAGGCAAGGACTGAGTGTGCCATTCCTAATGGTTGGGGCTTTTGTTGTTGTTGTTTTTGGTTTATTTTGCTTTGAAAGTTGGGGTTTTTTTCTTCCTCTCTTAAAATCCTCAGTTGCAAGATATAATATAATGTGAGATATTTTGCAATGCTTTCTCTTGAATGCCTTGACTCTCTTTCCTTCTTCATTCCAAATCAAGCTGATGTCTGTCTGTTCTGTGCTTAGCCATAGGGTAAAGATTTATACCCTGTGTAGGAGACATCTGTGTTAAGAGCCATTCAGAGGAGTAATACGGGGATATATTCATAAGTGGGCTGTAGAAGCAATGATTTAAAGACCATTTTTTCCATGTGGGAGATGTGATATAATTTAAACTTTGTGTCTAGAAAACTCTGCACAGGTAGGCTTCTCTTGTCCTCTGACCTGTTGAGTGTTTGTTTCCTTCCTCTTTTTTCTCCTTGTCGAGGAAATAGTTGTCTGTTTTCTATGCACTGCGTTTTACCTTGAAGGATGTACTAGTCCCTCTTTTATTTTCTCTTTTATGCCTCCACTACATTGTTCATTTATCCAGAACTGGTCCAAGAAGTCAGTTTAAGAGCTTTTTAGAACTTTACGGTTTCAAAGTTTGTTCTGTGGGTTTACAGTGTTAGCCCTGTACGCACAGACTTCTTGAAGCTGCAAGTAATCAAACAAAACAAAGGAAGTAAAATACTATGTTCCATGAGGCAGCAAGTACTCTGTATGGAGCAATTTTCCATCCTATCCTATGCACAAGGAATTGCAACTGTGATTGTTCTGCCTGCTTAAAAACATCTTCACAAACCACAAATAATTTCGGCTGGATTGAGACAAGTTTAGATTACAAATTAGTTTTAAACTATGTATAGATCATCAGTTCTTTCCAACTTTGGGGCATATATAAGAAAGATACTCTGTTTCTTCTCAGAGTTTTGCCTGTATAGTTTTCCTGGTTTTGTTCCATTGTTTTATAACTCTGTCTTTAAATACAAACCTACTTATGTCTTTCTGCCACAATAGCTGTGTAAGAGTGTTCTTGCAGCAAAGCAACTTACCTCTGCAATAAAAAAGTGGCCTACTTTGTAACCTTCTGTTTCTTTAAGAGTTTGTTTGAAATTCAGGGGTGTTATCAGACCTAGCATTGAAGCCCATTATCTAAACTATTCTGTACAATCCTGGAAAATTTCAGCCTGGATAAAGGTACACAGAGTTTCAGGAAGATATGCCTTTCAGCCTTTGGAGGCAG